CGCTTTTTCTGGTTTGCAGAGATCATCGACTAACACGACCAGTCTGGGTATGAGGTAAAATTGTAGTATTCAGAAAATTGTTTATTTAATCTCCTTGTTTCTGTACAATGTGATGAAAAAAGGTAAAGAAAATCTTGGTTTTCGAAATTCGTTGGCTGAATTTGATTAATCTTTTGCCTCAGTGAATACGCATTTGCTGATATCAACAATTTGGAGCACTGCGCCAAGTATCTGAACCAAACCCTAGTCACCTTTGGCTTCCCGGCTTCTCTCGATCTATTCGCCAATGATCCCGTGAGCGTTTTTTTCCCCCTTTACTTCAAATGAATGTGTTTTGGGTTTAGTTTATGTGTTCATGGACTATTTCTCTGATGTGTGAAAAAATGTTAAAAAGGTTTCAATTGCAAGGACTTGCAATTGTGTATACGCGTTGTTGCAGCAGAGACAAAGAGATATCGAGTTCAGGGAGTCTGCCAATGAGCAGAGACAACGGTACAATTCGATTACTATATATTACTTCCTTTGAAATAAAGTTTATTATTTTTCTTGAAGTAATATTTCATATCAATTTATTGAGTTCGTTACTATGAGTTAAGATAACTGCTATTGAAGTTGTTAGATTTTCAAATTCAATATGATTAACTATAATTGATGCTTCAAGGAATCTTCTGGATCTTGGGGATTTTGTTTCTAAAATTGAGGGTAGACTGTCATCCTTCGATTAAGGGATAGTGGTAATGTTACAATTTCAGTTAATGCAGTTTTGAATTTCATGGTGACATAGAAATCTCAAATTAAATATTATTTCATTTATTGCGTGGATGTACGGAAGGAGAAGCAAAAGTGTCTATCTTTGGTCTTAGGATGTTTATTCTAACATCCCTTCTAAGAAACACGACTTAGTTTCATAGTTCATTAGTTTATTACAGTCTGGTCAGATAGTAGACTATAAGGTTTTGCATATAATGAGAGCCAAAATAAATGTAGAATGTAGTAAACAAGATGTAATTTTTTATCCCTTGTTTAGATGAAATCCATTTTTTAGTGTGAGCTGGTTTTTGTGTAACTTGTGTGCACAAGGTAACTTATACTTTTATATTCTTTTGAAAGACTCTTATCAGACATTTCAAGGTTGGAGGCCAAAGTGGAGAGGCTGGAAGCTCAGTTATCAACCAAAGAACGAGAGATAGCAACAATGACTAGAACGGTTGGAAATTATTCATCAATTTTTATGCAAATGCTTATTTATTTCAGAATGAGATTGTAGATGCCCTTTTAAACTGTGAAGAATACTTATTTTGAATTTGTTTCCAATCTCTTGAGCAGGAAGCTAAAGCTACAGCAGCTTTGAAAGCCCAAATAGATAAGTTGCAGCAGGAGCGAGATGAATTTCAAAGGATGGTTTTGGGTAATCAGGTAAACACTTCATCTTATTTGATTACATTGTGGCAGTTATCGTTATTGTATTGCTTATTTAATTAAAATTTATTTTATCAACAGCAAGTGAGAACTCAACAGATACATGAGATGAAGAAAAAAGAAAAAGAGTACATAAAGTTGCAGGTATGACGTTTATATGTGGAGTATAATCCTTATATATGTAACTATAAGTTTGCAGAAAATAGTTCTGTTATAATGTATTGACTATACCTGAAAGTAACAGCCATTCAGAGGTAGTAAATAACTAAGCATACCATCTCTTGCAGGAGAAGCTAAATCAAGTAATGATGGAAAAAAAGAAGGAATCTAGATCGGGCATGGAAATTATGAATCTACTACAGGTAATAGTGCACTCTTTACCTTAATGTTATTACCTCCGTTTAGTTTATGGACTTTCCTTTTTAAAAAGATCTTTAATGTGCTCATAGAAAGAAGGGCGGCAGCGTGGGACATGGAATGGGAAGAAGGCTGACAATGACTTCTATAAAAAGATTGTAAGTAATACCTATCATGCACCAACATGGGTACGTGTTTGTCATGCAATTTTTCAGAAAAGTACCGGCACAACATGTCGTCGACATGATTAAATTCTTTAAAATTCTTCATTTATTATGTATGAATTTAGTTTTATATTTGTTATTAAAAATTTTTTAAAAATATTTTAAATATGAGTGCCTATTTGTTATTTACTAATAACTTTGAGTTAAAAATATTAATATTTTTAATAAAAAAGAAGTATTGACATGTGTCCGATACGGATACACTACTCTAGTTGAAGTGTTCGTGCTACAAAGATTAATATGATTGACTTGTTTAAATTTCTGTCACCCCTCTCAAGCTGTCCTATAACTATGAGCTGCTTGCAGGTGGATGCTTATGAAGTGAAAAACCAAGAACTGGTGGCTGAGAATGCAGATTTAAGGGCATTGCTACGTTCAATGCAGGTAATATGAAAGCTTTATGAATGGAAATACTGTGTAATATGTCATAACCAGTGGACATTTCTTTTCAGATATTTATATTTTCTTATTTTAATTTATACAAATACAAAGAATCAGGCTTGCACTTGCTTTTCTTACTATATACAACCTGGCAAAGGAATAGTATTGAGGTTTTGTTTATGCAAATTTCTAGTT